TTGGTAAGACTTTAACTATTATGCTTATAAATTTGAACAAAGCTCCCTCATTAAATTCTCTTCATTTCTTCTGCGTAGGATATTTTCTTGTTCTCATTTTGTATCTTGCATATTTGTGCTCATTCCTTATTTTCTTCATTAAGTGGGTGTGTCAGCGGCAGGTTAGCCAGGAAAACACAAGTCCGTCTAGGTGTGTCAGGAGAGAACTCAATGTAAAGGATCATTTGCTTGCAAAATAGTTGGGGGGCGGGGAGTAAAGGTCAGAGAGAGCCGCCATTCACTCTCAGAGTCACTCTGGCTATTTAAGAGCCAGGAGGCTGTAGAACAGTCCAGAAATCACCTGTTAGGAGGAGAGCCAAGCCAGCCTTGGCACAGATGGTTCCCAGGAAAACGGCCGCATTACCACAAAGGTGATGCTCGCCACAGTGCACGCGCAGACCCGCTGCGTCCATGGAGGTGGCAGTGCAGCCCTGACCCTCTTCTGCTCCCCGCATCCTGGGCTGTGGCCCCTCCCTGGTGGGATCTGAGCCCAAGTCTCAAGGACAAGAGGTCACCACCCCTTTCCCAAAGTCAGCTCTTGGATTTTCTACTTTCCCTTTTGTAACATATTTGCTTCTTCATGTTTTTGTCTGGAACCATACACTGGCATCTGTTCGTTTTCTAATACACGGATTTCTGTTTTTATCTAGATCAGTTCTTTCTACTTCCGTGAGCTCTTTTTTCTCAGAGCCCCATTCGCTCTTACATTCATTGATGTCCATCCTTATTTACCGGTGTATTTCTGATCACGAACTGTCCTCCAAGTATTACTTTTAACCACGTGCCACAAATTCTACATGTTCACCACTGTCACTTTCTTAAATGCACTTATTTGCACCTACTAATCACCCTCCTGTTTTGTCCTATTTCTATTGCTAAAAATTTCAGGACAACGCTGCATTCCCCCTTTCTTCTCTTCCCCATAAATATTCTTCCTTATCCGCTGGTGTCCTACAGGGTTGTCAACCCAAGAGAGCACTGCCCGTGTGTGCAGACATTTTAGTTGCCATGATGACTGGGGGCGACCGCCACTGGCGTTGGGTGGGCAGGACCCAGGGATCCTGCCAGAAGCCTTGCACTTTGTACAGCTGTGCTTCCCCGCAAACAGTGCTATTGCCCACATGCCGCTGGTATCCCGCTAAGAAAAAGGAAAGATCTCCAAAATCACCAGCTAAGAAAAGCACTGGCAGAGCCAGAACACGCACGTGTGTCAGACAAACCCTGTTTTCCTTTGGGTTATAGATATTTGTATATTTAGCAATTGTTACTAAATTATTTCAAGAATTACTAGCTCCAGATTTCCCTCTTATCCAGTTAAAGGTAAGAGCTCTGGGACTTGGCTGACACAGAGGCACTCAGGAGGGGAGCCAAACAAATGTCTCCAGTTGAGAAGAAAAACAAGCACTTCAATAAAGTAAACTCTTTTTGCCATTTCAAAGCAAAACCAAATTTCATATTTGCTTAATGGAGAGCCTGTGAATTGCTCGGAACCCCCAGCGACCATTAAGTCCGGGTTGTTTGTTGGGACCGGAGCTGAAGGGTTAGCTTTCACACGTCTTTAATTTCCAAACAGGAAACCAAGCTGAAGCCAGTATTTATGGAGTCACACATCCTAAAAAGTCAAGCCAGTTTGGTTACAGAATAAAAAGAACGGACTTTTTAATTGACACATAAGTGGAGAGAGAAGATCAGCTTTCCTTCTCTTCTCATTAGGACGTACACACTCTTAGCAATTTTAGGAAATTGTGCTGCTGCTCGATATCAGCCTCACCTAAATTAGTTCAGTGTGGTTAACTAGCTTAATTTAGGGAGGCCCCATGATTCTTTGCCGAACAGCTTAAGCAGACATGTATTTCTTTTTTTTTTCTTCTTCTAATTTTATAGTCTCTCATTCCTTGTTAGTTAAGTGGAAAAGTGGGTTCATAAAACACTGTGGTCGATTTCCTCTCCACATTGATACATGGGCCCTGCTCATCGGAGGTAATGTGTAAACAAGGGGACGTACCCCTACCTACTTCGATGACTTTTTGGCTAGGCATCAGCTCCCCCCACTATTAACTTGTTAGAACTTGGAAGTTCCTGAATATAATGAAATTGGCCAGTGGCTTAAAAACTCTTTAATAAGTGAGGGGACGCAGTGACCCATGCACACTGGGGCAATTGTGGAGAGAATCGGGGTATGCTTTCTGTCACCCAGATATGCGCTCCAAGGGATGACACATCGATCTTCACTGAATCTTGTCCTTAGACTCATCCTGTGTCTTGCCAGTGCCCACGTGCTTTGAGAAGGAGCAGGGGCCTCAGGGCCGTTGGACAGGTGAGCACAAACCCGAGCCAGCCTTATCTGAAACTCTTTATTCACAGCACTTCTGACCGCAAGTGTGGGGTGTTTACTACGCCCACAGCCCCCGACTGTCCAGTGGCCAAGGGGTTGTCTGTAGGTCAATTCAGACATGAAATGCCTGGAGTTCTTCAGACTCTCCAGGTTTCAGGGCTCAGCCCCAGAGGACTATTCCTGTTTAAAACACCAGTCACCAGTCACAAGTCCTGGGTGCCCCACATACCCACATTTTGATCTGATGTAGCTACAAAGTTGGGCGTTCTTACCGTCCCTCCCTTTCAGGTTTGATAATCTGTTAGATCAGCTCACAGAACCCAGGAAGGCTCAGTACTTGCAAATTCCAGTTTATTCTAAGTCAGAGGAGTGAAGAGCCAGAGGAAGGGGTACCTGGGGAGGATTCTCCAAGGGTCCCTACTGCAGGAGGCTCTGTCCCTGTGGAGCTGGGATGTGCTGTCTGTTCAGCACAGGGATGTGCCCCCCAACCCAGAAGCTCTCTGAACCCTGTGGGTTAGGTTTTCTAGGGAGATTTTGGAACTTAGTCCTGGTTGAGTAAATCCTTGGCCTTTGGAGGTGAACTCCATCTCCAGCCCCTTTCCCATCCCTGGAGGGTTGTGCAGAGTGCGACATGGGGCTCTGTCTCTCAATCCAGAGACCATGACCTGAGCTGAAATGAAGAGCTGAATGCTTAACCGACTGAGCCCCCAGGTGCTTCTCAGTCATTTTTAGTAAACTATTTCTCATCAGATCTCATTGAAATTGGGCAGAAATAATTGCAAAATTTCCATTAAGGAGCATAAAATAAAAACTTCATAGCTTGGTTAAAATATAATTATGTCAAGTCAGCAGAGAACTGAAAAATTTTATGAAACGGCAAAAATCCTAACCACCACTCCCTTGTCCTTCATCAGCACCCATGGGGCTTGATCCCTCCAAGTGGGCAGTTTGGGGCCCAGACACCTGAGCTGCCATGCCGGTCCCCTTTTGGAACCAGGGAGGACTCTTCTCTTCTGACTACTTAAAAAAACCAATCTCCAGGGTGCCTGGGTAGCTCTGTGGGTTAAAGACTCTGCCTTCTGCTCAGATCATGGTCCCAGGGTCCTGGGATCGAGCTCAGCATCAGGCTGTCTGCTCAGCGGGGAGCCTGCTTCCTCCTCTGTCTCTGCCTGCCTCTCTGCCTACTTGTGATCTCTGTCGAATAAATAAAATCTTAAAACAAAATTCATAGAGAATGTAACTTTCCCCAGTTAAGGCATTGACTTGTCTTATTCATTCTGACATAGCTTAGTCACTCTGTCCCATGTGTATTTTAGAGACTTTTGTTTTTCCTTGAGTGAAGAAGAATTTGTCTTCGCATGGACCCTACTCTTAGAGATGGTCGTGCCTGGGGTCTACACCGTGCTGTTCTTTCCTCCGAAACTGTATCTTTGGTCTGTCCCTTGCTCTGACATCTGCCAGAATCCAGTTGGGTGCTGGAGGCTGTGCTGGGTTGTGCCCTGGCTTGGGCTGTAGACAAGGGGGATGGCAGGGCCACACAAGCAGCAGGACACCCTCAGGCTTTCCAAGGGCAGCAATGAAATCATTTGTAGCTCTTAGTATATTTTGTGTTCATTTTAAATCAATACCAGTTGAGTTCTTTTTCTTCATTTTTCTCTCAATTGGCTGAACTCTTGAATATTGCCCTGCAAAACGTGTATCTAGTTAGAGTTCCCTTAGTAAAGCATACAGGGCAGAATGTTTCTGAGCAACTTAGGGTTGTTAAGTCTGTTCACTCTGTTGTGCGAACGTACCCATCGTCCATCTCCAGCCCTCATGCATCTTCCCAGACTGAAGCCCTGGGTCCACAGAAGAGTGACTCCCTGTTCCCCCTCCTCCTAGCCCTGGCAAACCAACATTCTACTTTCTGCCTGTTTGACTCAGTTCTAGGAACCTCATGTAAAGAATAACGCCCTTTATGGGAAATATAATGAATTAAGATACCGCACAAATTCGGGCATGTTTGCAAAGCTGTAAACATTAGGGACATAAATGGGGGCTGAGGATAGGACCAGCTTTCATTCTAGGCATTTCCACGGACGTCATTCCATAGGACACCTAAGTCATTATTGGGAGAAGGCCCCTGTTCAGCTTAGAACCGTGGCAGAATTTAACTCTCGATTCTCTGGTGACAAACTACTTTATGTTTTTTGTCTGTATTTCTTTCTGGCTTATTATTGATGCTTCTGATTGCTACTTCTCCAGTGGAAGCACAAATCAGGTTATTGTGTCTCTTTTGAGAAGTGGGCTGTGTTCCCAACTCTGGAAACAATAGGAAAGAACAATGTGTCATCAAATGTATGTTAGCACCGATTCCAAGACAAAGACACATGTTCACTTTAAAGATGCAAAGATCTGGGAGGGAAGTGCGCACGTCTTAGAGCAGATGAAATCCTCTGATAAGCCATCGAGAAGACAGGTCAGACAAGGACTAGTCCGTCAAGAGCTGTCCAGCTGGTCATTAGCATAAAGATGCTACCGATATGCTAAATCCTTTTTAAATAGGGATTTCTTTTGCTCTTCATCTGCCTTTCCCCAGGGAGTCCATTTCTGAGTCTTCATGATTATTTTCCACCCTTTCCTGCAGGGCAGATGACCACGAGGGTGGGCTGTTACCAAGACCTGAGGTTTCAAGTCAACACATCATTCTGCAGTCCCAGCACCCGACCTGTCACCGGGGTGGTGTCCTGCAAAGTGTCTGCCTGTCCTCCCAGGTAAGAGCTGTCACGTTCATTCAGACAGGTGTCATAGTTTTGCAAATACATCTGGTGCGTCTTGGGAGCTCCAGAATCTGGAGAAAGGTGGTGCTGATTGCTTTCATGTGATCTGGAAACGGGAAGAGGCAAGAAGAACCAGAACTACCTGTATGGGTGTGTCTGAACTACCTTGGGACTGTAAGTGCCAATTCTCCTCAAAGCATCCTCTTTGCCATATTTTCACTTTGATCACCGTAGGCTGGCAGGGGTGGTAATGTACTGGGGTGACATTCGCGTTTTCCTTCTCAGCCTCCAGTTCCTTTCGCTCTGTTTGTTTGCCTCCTGAATGAAACATGTCAGAAGGATCCATTCCTGGACAGGACCGGTGGGGCAGGTTGTGTGGGTTGCCGCGGTGTACCTGCACGCACATGCACAATCCCGCACACTCACGTGTGAGACTGAGCCGAGAAAGCCTGCGCTCTGGCATCCCGCTCTGCCTGTGGTACTGCCGTCCCGAGAGAGTTCTCAGGAAGGTGCCGGTGCCCCAAGTTGGTAGGCTGGGCAGGGCCCTGAGGAGCAGCCATGCCAGCCTGCTCCCAGCTGTGATGACCCAGGCACGCCCATCCCCTCCCTGGGGTTCAAGGGCTTCAGCTTCACGGGGGACACATCCCAGAGGGATTGGGAGAATCGTGTGAGTAACATCCACGTGGAATGAAAGTCTGACTCCCGAGTCTTCAGACAGCAAACACACTAAAAACTGTACAAGATGATCTCAAACTTCTTGATCCTAAAAATCCCCAGGAGCTGGTGAACTGATTCTAGGTTTGCAGAAATGGGCCTCAGCAGCGTGATGCTTTTCCAGGAGGCAGTGACACACGGAAGGGCACGTGACCCTCTCGCTTTGTCTCTGTACTGTTGGGTCCGTGGTCACTGGCTTAGGATAGAGGCAGAGGCCACTTATCTCAGAGATCAGGATCTTTCCTTCCACCATTTCCACGGAACCTCCTGACATGGAAACGTGGCTATCCAGGGGTGCTGCTTGCTGCTCTTCTCTTCCGACACTGCGCTGAGCGCTCGTGAGGGCCCACTCACCTGGGGCACTCCAAAACAGCCAGTTAACTGTGCCGTAGAGAGACCTTCCTCACAAAGACGAAGAGATGTGTGTGCGTGTCACTTTCCTGTGCAGGAGGAACCAGCTAGATCTGCTTAAGCTCCGGATAGTTAGGCACAGTTGGTGTTTGCACGAAATCAGCTCGCACACCCTGTGAGGGGCTCCCACCCTCACAGTCCAACCCGCCCATCCGCTCGGTGAGGCTTCCCTAGAGGGGAGGTAGAGACAACAGCCAGAACTAAGTCCGCAGCTCCTAGCTGCCAGCTTTAGGACTTTAACCATCACCTAAGTCAGCTGTGACCTGAGAGGGGGAGCCCCAGAACAGGCCTCTTGGTGTCTGTAACCCACACAGGCTCAGACCTAGAAGCAGGAGAGACCAGAGCCACAGGCAGAAGCAGCTGGTGCTTTCCTGGCGGGGATGGTGCTGCAGGCCCCCACCTTGTGGGAGAAAGCTGGGGCTCCGCTGCCCCCTCTCTGCTGCCTCCATGTCGGCTGCCTGACTTTCTTCTTCTAAGAAGCCTTAGTTAGGGTGTTCGAGAGGTCACGTGGCTGCTGCCAGCTCCGGATGCTCCCAACGGCGTGCTGCTCCTGTGTGGTCGGGTCCTGCTGTCACTGTGTCCAAATACGCCTCCCAGGAGGTGCCCCTCCACATGCGTTTTCTCCTTCTTGTCTTTGTTGGTAGGACCCCCGACACGCACGTGCAATCACACACACTCACAGACACGTATGTGAGTGCACACTCACGCACACACATTCCTTCACTCCCACACAGAGGTCCCTCTAGGTGTTCCCTGTCCCCTCCCAGCTCACCCTCTGGGCGGAGGGAAGCGAGCAGCAGTGAGGCAGGTGCCTTCCGTGGGTGCCCCGCGAAGGCTCTGCTTCCCCCTCTTCCTCTTCCACCCCCTGCCACTCCTTCCTTGATGCCCCGGTGCCAGCCCTGTGGGCAAGGCAGCCTCGGGCATGTGGAGTCACAGGATGGAGGGGCATCCGACTCCCTGGTGACCTCCACAGGCAGAGTTGCCCTCACCCGGCCCCCGGCTGCCTACCAGCTCAGACTGGCAGGAAAGGAAGTCTGGTCTCCCATGTTGGAGCCCTGGCCTTGCGGTCTCTGTCGGTGGTGGAAGCCAGAGTCCTAACTTTGGCATGTCTTGGCTATGAAACTGTGGCCTGAGCCACCCCACTCTGGCCACGGTTGCCTCATGTCGCTGTAGCTCATGCAGTCCTGGACCCACACTCCCATTGTCCTTTCTCACTGGGACAGTTCCCTTTCCACCCCTCGTTGTCCAGACTTACCCTGGCCCATCCTCAGCCCACAGACCAGAGATGCCACTGTAACCCTTGTCCCGCCAGCCCGCTGGAACCCTCTTGCCCAGTTCTTCCTCCATTCTCCTCCCCTGAGACCCACACTGGCTACCCCCAACATGTCACCCACGCTGTATGTGGTGCTCAGGAGCTATAGGCTGTCAGGAAATTCAAAGCCCATATTCTCAGTGGAAAAGTACGGCCTCTCTCTTAGGTGGCCCCCCAGGATAGCAGGCCATCCCACCACCCCTTCCTGGTCATTTGCTCCCTCCCAGGACTAGGATTCTGTGTCACCTCCAATGTCCTCTAGAATTCCTCCTCCTCCCCATCCACACTCAGCTCAGGACCTCGGACCTCAGACACAAGAATCAGGTGAAGACCATCTCTGCTTCCTGCTAACCGCCACCCGTGACTACCCAACTCACTCCGGCCCTCCTTCCCAGTGAGCCAACAGTCTCACTTCTTCTGGAAAAGTCCTCATGTGGTATGTCTCTGATTCGCCTTTTCCTTCATGCTTATTGATTCCCCCCAAGAAAGATTAAGTGGATGTTGCATTTTCCACAAGCTGTCTTGTCAACACACGCATATTAGGAAGTCACTCATTTTTCCTGCAGGTCAGCTGTGTGGCCCATTGTTTTTCTTACCAAGCCTCCTCTGCTCCCCTGAAGTTTGTCCTTCTGGTGTTGAGGGATCTGTACTTAAAACATCTCTGTGTTCTTTGATGTATTCCAAACTTGGGTAAAATTTTACAAGTGAATTCTGTTGAGAGCTTTGTGTGCTGAGAGAAAAGGCACAGTTCAGAGCCGAAGGACTAGTCCAGGGGAAACTGCACTGATGCCTGGGAATAGCATTGTTGAAACATAGTGAGGACACCCTAAGTTCATCCAGGAAGCATCCAGAGGCCCCATCCATCTGCTCTTTGACTTATGTCTAAGGTTTTTGAATATTTGTATTCTTACTGAAGAAGAAAGCTTTTGGAGGTAGTCCTAAGCTTGGCTGTAACCTACTACCATGCTTTCCTGCTGGGGGGATCCCTAGCGAGGTTCCCCGTACATCCCCAGTAAACAGCAGAGGCCTGATGACCAGCAGGACCCCCAGGTTTGTACCGAACAGGTGGGACAGGATGTCCCAGCCTCTGGCCCCAACTGTGTACGTCAGAGTTCTTTTGATGGAGTGGACCATGTCGGCCAGAATTGTGGAAATGGTGGAAAGCAAGGATGGTGTGAGCTCGGCAGCTGGTTTAAAGTGTGGTTCAGATAACCCCTTGTGTGTCCAGCTGGTATGTAATCAGGGTGCCAGAGAATGAGGGTGTGTTGAGGGAATTCATGTGAGATCCCCGGACTCTGACTGCAGCACACCGACTAAGTAGTCGATAACTCTTGGCTGTTTTTCTTTGTGGTATAAAAGGAGAAACAAATTCACATCCGACTGTGAAGCAAAACACAGAAGAATGAGCTTGTATCACACATATTAATCCTTGGGCATTATTATTTTATTTAAACAATTGAGTTGGGAAAATAGATCTTAATTTAAGAAGTTGTTTTGTTTTCATCAGTGAAAACTAGTCATTTTCTGCTCCATTTCTGATTCAATGGGATCTGGGAGTGGAGACTTTAAAACAACTTAATCCCTACCCTTCTCGTCTTTAACTGAAATGAAAATGAAACCTGCTACACTGATTGCAACTCCCAGCCTCCCCATCAGTGTCTGCACACTCGCCTGGGCCGAGTGCTGAGCTGGTGCAACGAGTGTGCTGTGGGGCCCCAGCCTCGGGGGCCACGTGGGCTCCCCCAGCTGGGAAATGCCAGCAGGGGCTTGGGCTGGGAGTCAGGGGTCTCCTCACTGGAGGAAGAGGATCTTGAAGTTTGCAAGAGGCTGCGGCCGGCAGGAGCATCATGGCTGAAGAACGAGGCATCAGCCGTTCCCAGCGGCTCCTCGGGGCTGGAGTGCAGCCAGCGGGCAGCTTCTCGTGGCTTCTGCTGCACACGGAGGGCTGGCTCCGGGCTGGCCTTGGAACAGACGGCAGTGCACGCACCCAAGTCCACACCACCTCTGTCTGCACTGGAGCATGAATCAGGCTCTTTTATCACTTGCCTTTGAAACAAGAACCGTAAATCACACAGATGCTTATTTCCTTTATTTTTCTGAGTTTATCTAAATGGAGTGGCTCTTCATGTCATTTATCTTAACTACTCTCTGGTTTTGGAAGCACGAACACTAACAGCGTGCCTTCCTGGACAATAGCGGAAAGATGCAAGAGGAAATACTTTCCAGATGGGACACGGGCCCTTTTCCTCCCTCTTCACAATTCTCCTAGGAAAGCAGAGGAAGAGTTTAGGTCAAACAGATCGTGATCGAGTAGACTTTGTTTTCTTGTTTTAGAAGGTCACCCCAAGGCAGTCCCCTCTATAATCCTTTCCACCGAGTGGGTTATTTCTGCCCACACTTCGGTGACTCCTTCCCGACCCGTTAGCAGAATTATTTGTTTTCAGCTGAAGGGCCTGGGTCGTGACAGGAAGCATTTGGTTGTATGTTGTAGAAATGCAAGATGAGGTGTAGCAGGTAACTCTGTTACAGAAGCTCTCCTGCAACCTCGTTTTCAGTG